CTTGAGTGGTGGGCAGCCTCTGCTGCCCCCTACGTCTCAGGCCTGCCGCTGCATGCGCTTAGCGGATAGGATGGATCAGGCCTTGTTGCCTCCGGGGGTGCTGCAGATTCAGCACCAGGGTGGGAGGAATGTGGGAGGCTCATGTGGTTCTGGGGGCAGTCCCTGGGGGTTGGGCTGTAATGCTGGCTGGTCCAGGCAGAGCCAGAGGGGAGGGGCACCATCTTCACTCCTAGCCACTTTGCTGCCCTGCCTCTTATGGCCCAGGCTGGACACTGCCCCGCTCAGGCCTTCCTTCCGCCAACCACCAGACCAGTGTCTGTGGCCTCACGGGCCCGCCCTGTTTTTAAAAAACTTACTTGCCAGGAAGTGCAGTGGGCTCACCAGAGAGAAACAGAGAAAGCGCATGCAATGGGGTGTGGTCCCAACACGATCCCTTCTCCATCCGTCAGGATTTGGGGCACACTTGGTGCTTGCTGGTGCGCTGCTTTTATTTATTAGATTTTATTTTTTTCATAGGTCACATGTGCTTGCTGGAGAGAGACAGAGAGGGAAAGTGAGAAATCACCCCCCAGTGGGATGGCCATGCCATAATCCTTTATTCTCCTCTCGGGACTTGGGGCACACATGCACATACTCCAGGTGTGTGTTCTTCAGGCCGCCAGGTCCAGAACTTGAACCATGGAGTGGGCCACTTGGGATCCAGTGCCTTACCCACCACACCACCTGCTGGCCCACCAGCATGCTTCTTAAGCCACCAAGGCCAGGATTCACCCTTAGTCAGCCATGTGGGATCTGGCTCCTTTAACCACAAGACTATTGGCCAGTCCTGTTTTCGTGAATTTAGATTGTATATTTGACCGTGGGATGCAGTGGGAAGGTACGGGGTCAGGATGGGAGTGGCTTTCTTCTGAGCTCTTATTCCTCCGTAAGTCTGGGAGTCCCGGGGGCGGCCCGGGAAGACCGGTGGTCCATCAGCTGAGATGCAAACTGGCCAGACGAAGCCCTAAGAGGCCCGGCCGGCTCCCTTCTTCCCCCCTCCATGGAGTCCTGGCCCTTGTCCTAGCATGGGCAGGGCAGAAGCAGCGCAGCAGGCCCATCTTACCATCTTCTAGTGCCCCTGCACAATGCCCCACCAAGAAGCCAAAGGACAGGGACAGGAGTCCTGCCTGGCCCAGGTGCTGGTGCCGGCTGCTGGTTTGCTATGAGAACTTGGAGGCAGGAGGCTCATGGTTTCTCGTGTGCAGAGATTTTACTGAGTGAACAGCCGGCCCTGCTGGCTGGCTAGACGTGTCTGTTGTCTGCAGAGAAGCCCGCTGTGGTGCGGCCCCCGACCCCACCCTGCTGCATCCTATGTGGAGCAACAACTCTGAATTTCCTGCCGTGGGTTTTGTGACTTAAAAAACTGCAGATGCTGATTGGCAATTAAATACCAAAGCATGCCTCTCGACACGCTGGAAAACACGACAGCTGCTGCTGTTCCTAGCAATTTTTTCTCCCTAAATTGAAACATCATTTTCTTTGTTTTTCTTTTGACAGAGATGTGGTTTCATCTTGAAGTAGGGGGGAAAAAGGGCTGTGAAATGCTTTGCTGAATCTAAGGGGCAGTCACAGGTGAACGGATGCTCGGATGCAGTTGTTGGGGGGTTCGGGCCTGTGACTTGACGTCATCTGGGTGTTCACCAGGGGCTCCTGCAGCTGCCCTGCACACAGGACCCAGCCTGGCCAGCATCTGCCCGGCCCCCTTAGGTGTGAATGGTGCGCACAACTTGTCCGCCCTGACTGGGAGTGAGGCTGGCAGGGACAGAGGGCAGGGGACAGGGTCCATACTATGGGGCACCATAAGGCCACCGGGACTCAGAGGCCCAAGCCCATGGCCAGTGCCAGGCTGGAGTGGGTGCTGGGAGTGCTGGAGATGGTTGGGGGACTAGAGGTACAGCCTTGCCAGTGGGCACTGAACTTGAATTTCAGAAGATAGGGTGAGGGTGGCTGCCCTTTCCTGCTCTTCCAAGTGGGACCTGGGTGCCCTGGGACTCTCTGGGTCTCAGCTGTGCACAGATCCAGGGCAGCAGGAGTGCCAGTGTCTCTCCAAATAATGCTGCTTTGCCAGGTAGAGTGGTGGGCACCTGAGCATGCAGTCTCAGACTGGCAGAGCTCAGAGCCAAAGAGCAATGGGGACCACTCGGCCCCTGCCAGAGGAGAGGGTACCCAGAGGGCCTCCAGCCTAGCCAGAACACCCCCAGGGACAAGGAGCTCACCGTGACAGGAGCTGGTCAGGCGCCTCTCTGTGGTGCCCTGCTGCGTCCCCTCCGGGGTTCCCGGCAACCTCTGGGCAGCAGGCCTTAGTGTGCCTGCCGCCTGCCTCCCCCAGGCTGACCTGCGAGCCCAAGGTCCCTGGACACCGGAGGTCCTTCCTGAAGTCTTCCCAGGAAGCCTCCCACTGTGGAGCATCCTGACCTACTGGGCACGTTCTCATCCCCAAGAGCCCAACATGCTGCCTTCTCCGTTTACCCAGCTGAGTGTGAACACGGCTATGTGCTGCTCCCCTGCCTGCCCCTCCTGTGGGGCTCCGTCCTGCAGACTCTCATTCCCACCCCTGCACTGTAGGCACGAAGGAGCCCGGGGACCCCAAACACTCCGATCCAGGGTTGAGGAGGAGCTTTTTGTTTTTAAGTTTTTGCCCTAGGATGCATGCAGCTGTCGGAGAGAAACAGAGAGGGAAAATGAGAAATCACTCCCTGGGGGACGACCACGCTGCAATCCCTTCTCCATTCTCTTGGGTTTCTGGGCACATGTACCTGGTGTGATTTTCAAGCTGCCAGGTCTGGGACTCGAACCACAGCCAGCCACGTGGGAGCCCAGCACCTTAACCACCACACCACCTGCTGGCCTGTTTGTTTTATAACGAGAGAGATGGAGGAGAGGGGAGAGAGAGAGAAAGAGCAAGGAAGATAGATTTTTTTCTTTTCTGGAATTATTTTATTTGGGAACCAGCAGTTAGTGTAATGGCTATGTTGCTGGACTCCCATGTAGTCAACCACGGTTCGTGTCCCGGACCTGGTGGCTTAAAACCTACGCCGGGCGTGTGTGCGTGCGTGCTCAAGATCCTGAGAGAAGAATGGAGGAGAAGGGATTGTGGCGTGGTCACCTCCCTGGGGGTGATTTCTTGCTTTCTGTCTCTCTGTCTTTCTCTGTCTTTCTGGCGAGAGCACATGCCCTATAGCAAAAACCTCTCCAAAAAAAAAGAAGATAGATTAAAAAAAAGGGGGGGGGGAACCAGACGTTATGGCGTGACCATCCCCCCAGGGGGTGATTTCTTGCTGTCTCTATGTCTCTCTTTGTCTGTCTGGCGAGCGCATGTGCCCTATAGTGAAAGTCTCTCAAAAAAAACAGGGGGGGAGGACTAGCAGTTAGCGTAATGGCTATGTTGGACTCCCATGTAGTTGACCGTGGTTCGCGTCCCGGACCCGGTGGCTTAAAACTCACGCCGGGCACGTGTGCGTGCCCAAGATCCCGAGAGGTGAATGGAGGAGAAGGGATTGTGGTTGGCCATCCCCTCTGGGGGGTGATTTCTCGCTTTCTATCTCTCTGTCTCTCTGGCGAGCGCATGCGCCCTATAGCAAAACAAAACAAAACAAAACAAAAACAAAAGCAAAAAACAAAAAAACCTCTAAAAGTCTACCAGTGTGCATGTGTGCTTGTAAAAAGAGACACACAGAGAGAAGAAAATGAGAAAACTCTCTCCATGAAGGATGGCCACTATGCAATCCTTTCTCCTTTTCTCCCTCCTTTTGGGATTTTAGGCATGCATGCACACTCCCAGTGTGTATTTCAAACCTGTGGGTTCTGAGACTGGAACCACATGGTTGTGTGGGGTCCAGCTGCCTTAACCACCTTGCCACCAGCTGGCCCACAATAGGATTTTTGTTTGTATGTGAGAGAGATTTTTGTTATAGGGCATGTGCGCTCACTGGAGAGACAGAGACAAAAAGTGTGAAATCCCCCCCCCCCCAGGGGGTATGGCCACACTGCAGTCCCTTCTCCTCCAGTCTCCTCTCGGGATTTGGGGCACACACACACACGCCTAGCGTTAGTTTCAAGCCATCGGGTCCAAGACTCAAACTGTAGTTGGCCATGTGGGAGTCTAGCGCCTTAACCACTGCATCACCTGCTGACCCCCATGAAAGGTTTTTTTGCTTGTTTTAAGAATTATTTAGGGGCCAGGAGTTGGCATGGTGGTTAAGAGACTAGACTTCCACATGGCTGACCATGGTTCAAGTCCTGGACCTGGTGGCTTGCTTTCTCACTTTCCCTCTCTCTCTGGTGAACATGTCCTACAGGAGAACTTAAAAAATAATAAAATAATAATTTTTTAAAGAATTAATTTTATTTATTGATTCATTTATTTTAATTTGACACCACACACACACACACACAGGGAAAATGAGAAAGCAAGCCACAAGATCCAGGATTCGAACTGGTTGGCAACGTGGGAGTGCCCGGCACCTTTACCACCACACCACCGTCTGGTCTCCAGAGGACAGGTATTTTTGCCAGGGTCCTGCCATTGAGGTCCTCCTGTCCCTTGTGCCCCTACCCCCTAGCTGGCTAGGATCACAGGAATGTGCAGTCATACTGTGTTCATATTGGCTTAGGATCTGACCTGAGCCTCCCACATGGCCTCAGCATTGCCTGGAGACACCCTACTTCTTGTGCCACCATGGCCGGGCCCAGAGGTGCTTCTGCAGAGACAACCAGGAGCTCAGTTGGGACATGTTAAGTGGGAAAAGTCTTTCATATTCGAGGGTGGCGCTAGGGTTTGAATGTGGTCTTCAGAATTCTGTGTTAAAATCAGATGAGCCTCAGCCAGCAGGTGGCGTGGTGGTTAAGGTGGCTGGATCCCACAGGGTCAACTATGCAGTTTGAGTTCCAGACCTGGCAGCCTGAAAATCATGCCAGGCGCATGTGCACGTAGGCCCCAAATTCCAAGAGGAGAGCGGAGGAGAAAGGATTGCAATGTGGCCATCCTCCTGCTGGGGGATGTCTCATTTTTCCCTCTTTATCTCTTTTCAGCAAGCTCAAATGCCTCATTGCAAGTTAAAAAAAAATCTGATGAACCATTGTCATGGTGCTGAGAGGGTGGAGACCTAATTTGATTATGATGTGGAAAGGTGGGAAGTGATCAGGCATGAGAGGGGCCCTCTGACTGATACGTGTGACTTTTTAAGGAGACGTGCACTCATGCTTTGCCGTGTCTCACGTGTGGTACCTTCACCCTGCCATCCACCAGCAAAGACGACCCTCACGCTTGACCCCGGACCTCTAAAACAGTGAGATGAATAGACTCTGATTCCTAAAAAGCACCAGTTTCAGGTATTGTGTTGTTAAGCCCCAGGGAGTGGACTGGAATTGGGGCTGCAGGTCATTGTGCTGTCCCTTGTGCTCAGCAGCGGCCTGTGGCGGTCTGGAGAGGTGGGGCTTCAGACAGCCCGAGGGATGGAAGTCAGTGTAGACAGAGGAGTGGAGAAGGGTTGAGGAGGAACATGGGGGACAAGGGCTGTGGTGACTGGGACGTGTGTGGACGACACTCTCCTCTGTGAGACAGCAGTGTCCCTCCGGTGCTGAGAGGCCATGCCCCTGGGAGCCAGGCTGGCCAGGGGCTGGGCTCTGGACTCCTCTCCCATGGGTTCGTTTCTCCATGCAGAGGAAGTGGGTGGTCAGCTGAGAGGTGGGCTGCCAGGGCAGAGGAGTGGGTGCTGAGTGGCTGCTAGGAGAGCCGGAGAGAGGCCGCGCCAGGCTGAGGTGGCGCCACGTCCAGCACACAGGCCAGCAGACACCGAAGCCCAACCAGGGTTGTTCTTGTGGCTGGTGGGGTCAGAGGAGGTGAGTCTCCAGGCTAACCCTGGGTGAGTGGATGCAAAGAGTGGCAGAAGTGTCTCTTTCAGCCCTTGGGAGGCTGATGCCCACAGGCCTCCTATAAGCACCCTTCCCCCCACCCACACAGACATGAAGCCTGCTTCCAGAAAACCGGTCACATGCTTACTGTCTCGATTTCTCACCACTGTGGAAGCCCGTCCCACAGGCAGGACTGCTGGGCGCAGGCAGTGCTGGGCAGAGGTCAAGGAGCCAGCAGGGCCCATTCTGCTGCAGGTCTCCCTGAGAGACGGGCACAAGGCCACCCTCTAACCCCAACCTGGCAGAGAATTCCAACATAGGCCTTGGCTGGGCCTGGGCACAGCGTGGGTGGGCCAGACTTGGGGCCTCTGAGAACACCCAGGTGACCACCACCCCTCGGCTTTGGGGTGCTGAAGTGAGCCCCCATGTGTGTTCCACCAGGCTCCATATCCCCGCCTTCCCAGGTCAGTGCTGAGCAAGGGCCACAGGCAGTGGCAGGCCACGGGCTCAGCTCCTGCTGCTGCCACGTGTACCATGTGGGAGGCTGCTCTGTGGTCTGTGTGGAGTGTTTTATTCAAGCAGCGGCTGTGCGGGGCGGCTCCCCAAAACCCCCACTCGGGCTGCTTAGGTCATTTGGGTAATGGAGGGACTCTAGGAAGTGGAGACCACCTTTCCTTCCATCCAAAATGAGGGTAGCCTCCCGAGGGGGCAGACGCCACCACCATGCTGGCAGCTACGTGGTGCATCATGGGTAGCCCCTTCTAGCCTGAAGCTTTGGGAGCTTCTTCAGGGAAATGTGTCCACAGGCTGGCTTCCTTTGCTAAGACCCGCAGGTGTTTGAAGGCGGTGGGCAGTGTCCGGCCCAGGAATGGAGGAGTGGTCACGTCATGGATCATGACCACATACTCCCCTGTAAGAGACAGGGGTGGGGGATAAGGGGTGAAGGAAGACTGGTCCTTGGCCTCTCAGTGGCCACTGCCCCCTTCTCTGCCCCAGGGCTCAGCCCGGTCTCATGTGCCAGCCACCCCCTCAGCCCCTCACCCTAGTCATCTCTACCCACCACCAGTCTCTGAGGAGTCTACCCAGTGCCCACCTGGGGTCACGGGCCCCAGTCAGTGGGACTGGGCTGCTGCCTTCCTGGGGCACTGGGTGCACCGTGTGGGTGAGTACAGGAATTCGGGGTGAAGGAAACCGCCTTAGGTTATAGACCCAGCTGGACTCGCATCCTGGATGCTGAGCAGTAGTGTCCAACGAGGGGCAAGGACAGCCCTGCTCAAGAGGGCTTGAGCCACTCTCAAGACCCCAGGCCTTGAGACCCACCCTGCTGGTGGGGCCACGTGGCCGAGTCTAGGGATTGTTTCAAAAACACTTTCCCGCATTTTTAGGAGCAAAATAAGTCATTTCATCTAAAATGTTTTTGCAAAGAGTGAACTCTCTGAAAGCTGGGTGCCTCTGGCTTGTCTAGAAACCCCCCATCCCAGCCGAGTGTGGGAAGGGGCTGATGCACTGTGGCTGGAACCAGAGCACGGCCCTGATGTTAGGGGGCACCTGGGAGAGAAGGAAAAGTACTTTTCCTTTTCGCAGTCTGTAAACTGTCTGGAGAGCTTCAAAGTTGGAGAAACCATAAAAAAGAAAATAAGAAATAACAAAAAGTGGCGTTGCCATGGAAACTGTCCTCTCCCCTCCCCTGAGCCTGCTGGGCTGGCACCAGAGTGTGGAAAAAGCTCCCTGGGCTGGCCTGGGCTCCTACCAGGAATGTGGCCATAGCTGAACGGGGTGGGGGGGTCGCACCGCAGAGCAGAGCGGAGCGGCATTCCAGACGCGGCCTCGCAGAGCGGTCACCCTGCGCCTCGCTCAGCCCACCAAGCGCTGCGGGCGCCTGCATTCCTGGGGCCGCACTAGACTGGGCCTTGGAGGCCTGTAGGAATGTGTTCAGCCTAGAGTCAGAGCCTTCAGAAAAACCATGGTTCTGGGGGCCTGTCGAGGGGGACATGCATTCCCTAGCCTGGAGGGTGTGGGCCGCAACGCCAGGCACCAGGGGCTGGTCCTGCTAGCCGGCCACGGGCCAGCCTCCCTGGCGGGGCTTGGAGGAAAACTTGCACATGGCAACGCTGCCGTGTTTCCAAGCAGCCCGGTTTCTAGGTGTTCCCAAGAACACACAGCTAAACCAACCCGCGGGCGGCCAAGGGCGGCTGGCCCGGGAGCAGCGCGGGCTCAAATGGGCAGTGGACGAGGAGCCCAGACCGCAGGCCTGATTTGACCCCGTTCGTGAGGCTTGTCTCCTGTCAGTGGGAGGAGGCTCTGGCTGTTGGCCACCATCAACTATGAGGTCCACTTGTGGGCCCTGGCCTGCTGTCACTGGCCAGCTCCCATCCCAGGCCCTTGGCCATACACCTGGCCTCACCCATGGGGCCCCAAACTCCCAATCTCTCACTCTCTGGAGATGTCCTAGCCCTGCAAAGAAGCTTTTGGCAAATGATGCTTCTTGAGGCCCATGGTTCGGCCCACAGAGGTGCTGGAATCCAGCCGATCCCTCTTGATGCCGAGATGAAAGGTGCTGACCCCTCCCCACCCCTCCACCTCCCCATACGCTCTTTCTGGGGTGCCAACAGGGGTGACCAGCAGAGCCAGCTGCACACACTGTGGCCGACCCAGCAGTAGACAGCATGAGAGCTGCTGTGGGACAGACAGGGGACACTGCCCTGAGTCCTGGCTCCTCTCCCAGCATAAGGACCGTTCCGGCTGCAGCCAGTCAGTGGGGCTCAGAGGCCACAGGGCAGGGCTATGGCTCCTCTCACTGACTACGGGGGCTTTGCTTGCTCTGTGACTGCATGAAGGGTCAAGTTCTTAGGGGCTGCCCAAGACCCTGGTGGGAGGTGTGTCTGGACCTCACTTGCAGCCTGCTGGCCTTCCAGCCAACACTCCGGAGATCTGAAACAAGGACCCTTTGTATTGGCCAAGGGGACAGAGAGGGACCTACTCTCTACCACATACTCTGGCAGTTGCCCAGCGTCTGTGCCCTTCTAAGGGACCAAGCCTTTGTCCCATGTTCTGATGAAGTCATGGGTACTCAGCCCCACAGGCTCTCCTGGGAGATTGGGAACCCTCTGACATGGGGGCCCAGGCTCCTGGCCACAACTAGGACGAAAGGTAGCTCTGGAGAAGCCCCATGGGCCAGGCCTTCCTCAGCTTTCTGTTATCCCCGGAGTCAGGCAAGTGGAGGATGTGGCAAGGGGCGATGAGTATCTATAGGGGCCCAGCATGCTGGCAGTCCACCCTCTCCTCTTCCTCAGCCACCAGGGTCTGCCTATGGCCTCACTAAGGACTGGCCTTGTTGGTTTGGCCTTGTTGGCCACGGTATCCACACCTCAGCCACCCCTCCTGTGACAAAGATGAGATTCCCCTCTGCCACCTAAAGGCTTCTGCCCCCGGTTGCCTGGTTCCCTCCTTTCTGGAACATTCTCCTCAGCAAGTATGTGACTACATCTACCTTCAAATTCTCCTGGGCCTCCACCACCCTGGGAGGGGTCTGAGCTGCTTCCAAATCCCTACCACCCGCTGGGTCTTTGGGCCCTGCCATCCTCAATGTGTCCCTAGGGTTGCCCAGGCAGTGTCCCCTCTCAAACCAATGCCCACCCGAGGGCTCCAGACTGGCTGAATGTGTGTGTGTGTTGGGGGGATCCACTCTCGCTTCCAGTCAAGAATGGCTGCCTGCTTACCTGGGTATGCTGCTGCCATCAGCCCCACTGTGGTCATCCTGTCAGGCCTGCAGGGAGAAGAGGAGGCCCCTGAGTCTCTGGCCTGAAGCCCCTCAGCATGCTGCATTCCCACGCCAAACCAGGGCCAGTAGCTCTAGGCAGATTCTGGAGCCGGGGGACAGCAGGGATCCACGGATGGGCACAGGTCTGACTGTGCCGTCCTCTGAGGGCCCACCTCTGCCCTCGTGGGAGGAGTGCAGCCACATGGGTGGAGAGCCCTGGAGTGCCTATGTCCTGCCTCTGCCCCTTGCCCCCTAGCCTCCTTGAATACACACTCTCCACCTAAGTCCTGCTGTGGCTGCAGGGGAGG